CATTTCCATCAACAACATTCCAAAGCTATAGACATCAGCTTTGTATGAGACGCCTCCAATATTCTTGTAGAATAATTCTGGAGCCATGTATCCTAAAGTACCTCTTGCTGCAGTAAGAGATACAATATTGTCATCTGTTGGATACAATTTTGCAAGGCCAAAATCTGAAACTTTTGGATTAAAGTTCTCATCCAAAAGGATGTTGTGTGGCTTGATATCAAAATGTAGAATCTGCATTTCGCATCCTCAATGTAAGTATTCAATCCCCCTAGCCACTCCGAGAGCAATTTCAAACATTCTTTGACAGGTTAAAGATGTGTTGTTTTCACTAGAAAATATGATCTTATCCAAGGATCCATTTGGCATGAAATCATATACAAGAGCCCGTTTCGATCCCTCCACACAAAATCCGATCAGTCGCACCACATGAACATGATGAACCCTTCCAATGGTAGCAACTTCATTGATGAAATCTTGGCCATTAGCTTTTGATTTGTTCAATAATTTTACTGCCACTAAATTGCCACTTCGAAGCTTTCCTTTGGAAACCAAACCATAACCTCCTTCACCTAATTTATCTTTGAAACCTCTAGTCATTTTCTTTATTTTAGAATAGGAGTACTTAATAGGCATGAAGTTGTTCTGTTTTTGAAGGAACTCTTCAATTGTATCATCTGCAGACAAATGTCTCCTGCGAAACTTGTACACAATAACTGCAATCATGATGGATAGCCCCAGCAAAGTTCTTGCCAAGATAAGTCCACCTTATCACAAAAAATTAAGAACAGAATCACATCACATAGTTATATATCATTATTACCCACAAAGTGGTTTTTTTTTTTTTTTTTTGTGAAATTGAGACTGACCTGTTACTCCAATAACTCCAATAAATATGGGATTGGAACCTATTAGAATAACAAAAAGACAAAGACATGTAAGCACGTAAACATATGGTACTAAGGAATGAGTGTTAATTCCCATTAAAGATTGAATTAGAAAAGCATACCTATATAGTTGGGTTCGTCCCAAAAGTAACCTTGACCTCCAATTAAATATACAAAGTTGTTGAGCGCATTTAACACAGCTGCCATAGCGTACAAACTAAAATATACATTCAGCACAAGATAAGCATGAAGAGATATATATCAGTATACGATAAGGTGATGGATAAAAAAATGAAGAGGATTTGAAGACCATCAAACCGATTTAAGGTATTGGTAAAGATGTTCAGATCATTATATATATGAAGCCGAAGAGCATAAAAAACAAGGTTTGCACCATAGGAATAATCCTAATATTGGCCCCTCAATTAAGCTATTAATCTTCTAAACAAATTGTGAATCTCATACCAAACCAGCTGGTACGGTTAGTACATACGGAATTTGTCATAAAACCGGTGAACTGTAGGGCATTATACTGTACCAGTTAATTTCTTAGCGGTACCGGATGAAAAGTTGCATACCAGCCAAAATAACTGTGATATTAGAGAAAAAAATAGGAAATTGGGCTTCAATTGTGCACGACTCATTGAAATCAGATACCTGTGCTAGTTCATTGAAGACAAAGAAGTAACTATATGGAGAGAAAGAGCTATTGGTACAACAGAGGCATCAACATAGAGTGATGAATTCATCTGTATATTGCAATTTAAAACATACAGAAGATAGTTAGAAAGAAGCATTTTCCAACAAGCGCCTTCAAGAAGAAGGGAGCTGTGAGGAATGGAGCAGATATCCCTCTGAAGACTGGCATCAACCAGTCGAACACTAGAGTTTGTGATGTTCTCAACAAAGAATTTCCC